ATAAAGCGAGCATATCTGCAGTGTAAGATGTGGTTGCAAGCCCCAACTCCTGCAGTCACCAAACCAGATCCACTCCAGTATGATATGAAGCAACGGATGTTGGCATAACACCAGTGATACTGCCAGTATCGTGCAGGCCTGATGACCTGCCCCTCAATGAAAATGCCCAACATCATGTATGAGTACCAAAACGTGCACTTGCAGAGAAATGAACGTAAAATGTGAGACGTTTTGTGGCTGTAGTAAAGGCAAAAAGTATAGAAATCCAAATAAATGTAGTACGTAACATGCAGAAATCGGTTTTTGGCAATTATCTTAAAAACCATCACTTTTGGATATGAAAATGTATTACTGATCCCCATAATGTGGCTATTGCGCACATTTTGAGTGGTCGGGCAACCTCCTAGGTCGCAACGCGTTCTATAGATACAGTCACGGTGGATGGTAGTACTGCTCGCTTAAAAAGGGCGTGGCCTCAAAAAGATATTTCGCCGTCAGTGGGAAATGTTACCAACCAAATATTGTTCCTGGACCTCGGGGCGGCGCTGCAGAGCCACGCGCGCACGCACACGGGAGAGAAACCGTACGCGTGCGACATATGCGGCTCCGCCTACACCACTTCCGGCAGCCTCAAGACGCACTTTCTCACGCACACGGGCCAGAAACCTTACGCGTGTGACGCGTGCGAGTACAGGACTTGCTCCCGCGGCAGCCTGAAGAGGCACGCGCTAACACACACGGGAGAGAAACCGTACGCGTGTGATGTATGCGAGTACAAGTGTTCTCGGCTGGAGCAGCTCCAGATGCACGCGCGCACGCACACGGGATAAGCGTGCGACACATGTGAATACAGGTGTATGAGCGCTAGCGGCGTCAAGGTGCACGTTCACTCGCACTCAGACGAGAAACCGTACGCGTGTGACATCTGCTCTTTCAGGGGCTTATCCTGGGCCGCTCTCTCGAAACACATGCAGTCGCACCGAAGAAAGTCCATGTACAATCAATCGTGAGTGATGTGATGGACGGGTCTGCGGGTTAAACAGCTAATTCGTCAGACATTAAACGTGTGGATACAGGTGCACTCTCTTCAGTGACGTACCCTCAGGCTTGTATAAGAGAAGAAATCTTGAAAGGCGATTAAACAGTTAATAAGCCAGTTCGTAGTTACACACTGGCGCCCTATGATGTCATCGGGTCATAGGTCATTTGTACATAGCTGAAAAGTTGGATTGCGCGTTCGCTCGTACGCACTTGCCGTATATACTACTACATAGTATGCATGAATGCTATACAAAAGCTATGTACGTGCGTTTGTTTTCAGTACTGAACCGATCGACTATCTGCCTGTGCTTTTTATTTTTTGGATTTTTACGTGTGTATGATATTCATTGTGGGGTATTTTTGGTAGATATGCAGTGTCGGTTCTTCTCGGTCAGTCAGTTAACTGCAGTCAGTTCAGTCAATCTCGGTCATATCATTTATTTATGGATTTCTTTTTGCTTCCTGGATTTCTTAATTCTAATACAACAGAAATGCACACTGAGACATACATGTAATTAACTTGCAAAGCATATATATATATATTGATTCATGTTTAATGCACATCTAACTACATGTATATGAACAGGGAGGAATGTTAACCTCTAAATACATTGTACAAGCAATTAAAGCAATGAAAATGGGGAAATTGTGTACGTGTATACTTGTATGAAACCTGCAAATGTGATAATTTATAATGTAGCAAGTTTAAAAAATAGCAATGAAATAATAAATAGTTTCCATTTTAGAGCCAGCAGGGAATAAACATGCATCATAAATTCTTATATTTTTTATTATTAATATCTATGAAAATCTTCAATTTGAATGAAATCAATGAAAGTACCATTTGATATTCATAATAAAAAATATATGCGGTACTCGTATATATGCGGTATATATATATATACAATGTCA